TTTTGACAATCCTGGGACCTGAACTCTGGGCCTGGGCACTATCCTAAAGCTCTTCAGCTCAAGGCTAGCGCTCTACCACTTGAGCCACAGAGCCAATTCCGGCTTTTTCTGCTTATGTGGTGTTGAGGAATTGAACCCAGGGCCTCATGCATGCAAGGCAAGCACTCTACCACTAAGCCACCTTTCCATCCCTCTCATTTCCTTAATGCCTTTTCTCCATTAAGTCTTTAATGAGGGATCTTACAGAGAGATCTGCTGGATTTTTTTTTTGTCGTGGGGCCTGAACTCTGGGCCTGGGCGCTGTCCCTCAGCTCTTCAGCTCAAGGCTAGCGCTCTACCACTTGAGCCACAGTGCCACTTCCGGCTTTTTTTCTTTTTGCTTATGTGGTGCTGAGGAATCGAACCCAGGGCCTCAGGCATGCAAGGCAAGCGCTCTACCACTGAGCCACCTTCCCAGCCCCTGGATTTTAAATATAGAACCTTTCTCTTTTTTTTTTGGTTGGTTGTGGGGCCTGAACTCAGCCTGGGCACTGTCCCTCAACTCTTCAGCTCAAGGCAAGTGCTCTACCACTTGAGCCATTATGCCATGTCCAGCTTTTTCTGCATATGCGGTGCTGAGGAATCAAACCCAGGGCCTCATGCATGCAAGGCAAGCACTCTATCACTGAGCCACCTTCCCAGCCCAGAAAAACCTTTCTAAACCCTCCATTTTGTTATGGTTTCCACAGTTCACTGCCAGTGTGATTATACTATAAACTAGGGTGGGAAGAGTCAGATTGGCAGTCAAAGGAAACTCTTAAGAATCTAGGGCTAAAAAAAGAATCTAGGGCTTCACTGAGGTTTGAGAGACAAATGTATTACAAGGGACAAATGGTCCATGGTCAGAACAGGGGAGTAATACCAAGCTTCAGGTCCAAAAGTAATGACCCATGTTCTATGCAAGATACGAAACAGAATGCCAATCAGAAATTGAAGAGACAGCAAAAAGTTGGGAAGTTATAGGGGCAGGAGGAGGGGGGAAGTTTCAAAACTTGAACTGCCTACAAACAAGGCAGGGTTAAATTCAATCTTTTGGAGTGTGAGTTCCAGTCCATACTTACTCTTACCTAGACCACAGAAATGGTACTGGTGAGTGAGATGCCAAATTGGGTGTGTTTTCTTGTCCAGTCATATACACCATTATTTTCCTGTCAGTGAGTTATTTGCTGGCTTCTTTAAGCAAATGTAATATTGACAGTAGGATTTTATGGCAAGGAAACTGCCTGAGAACAAGCCATGTATTAAATAAAACAAGACAAGCAAGCCGGGCGCTGGTGGCTCACGCCTGTAATCCTAGCTACTCAGGAGGCTGAGATCTGAGGATCGCGGTTCAAAGCCAGCCCGGGCAGGAGAGACCGTGAGACTCCTATCTCCAATAAACCACCAGAAAACCGGAAGTGGCGCTGTAGCTCAAGTGGTAGAGCACTCGCCTTGAGCTGAAGAGCTGAGGGACAGCCCCCAGGCCCAGAGTTCAAGCCCCACGACCAACAAAAAAAATAAAAATAAATAAATAAATAAAACAAGACAAGCAAAGCTCCTATATTGGGATTTCAGTTGGAGCTGGATGACTTCCGCTTAGGCTGAAGGGAAACAGCAGTGATTGAGAGGGGATCAGGCTACAGGATGGGGTGGCAAAGTTTGGTAATTTATCCATTAGTCATGAGCATGGTTGCAAAATAGGGGCAAGCAGTCTTCTTTTTGTGTGTGTATGTGTTTTTTAAGCTAACTGACAGTGATGATTTAACTTGGGAACTTTGAGTTTCTCCTCTTGCTAATATCAGCATCTTGCATAAATGTTCTAGTTGAGGGACTTTAGGTGCCTGAGTTGCTGGGAAAGCAGAAGGGTGGGGTAGGAAAAACAAACTTCTGTTCCGATAGACAACAGGCCAATTTAATCCTGTATAATGGACAAAAATTTCCTTAAATGCTCAACATGTCTACATACAGAGCTGAGTAAAGTCTGATTCAGTGACAGATATAATATGGAGTCTTTTATCCTGTTTTATCCATCAGATAACTGTAAGCCCTAGAGTCAGTATTCATAGCAAAAGTGGACAAGTTTCTGCAAATTAACCTGGGCAACCAGTACCATAATCTGCATGTCAGACATGTTAGCTCGTGGGAAACGAATAATGTATTGCCCCCTTGTGTGACCTCCAAAATTAGTGATTGCCAAGTTAACTGAGAGCAAGTAAGGCTAGCTTATTTAGATCCTTTTATTCACTATAGTTCCCCCTCATCTTTGTGTGTCATTTAGTCAGCCATCTTGAAACTTACTAGATTTTGTTTGATCTAGTCATAGGGGCTTATAATCTGTAAATTCTAGCCTTGTTTACCCAATCTTGTATCTTATGACAAAGTTGCTGAAAGCATGCTTTTAATGGGTAATGGGTTAAGGGCCCAGAATTTGCCTTTCGTCCCCTGGGTGGCTCTTGTTTCAAGTCACCTTTAAATCATTAAAAGCTTCTATATTTCACCAGCTGTGAGGAATATCCATATAGACAGATGGAAAAAACTGATTTTTTTTGTCACATGTTGTAGCCAATTACTTCCCCTTAAATTTGTCTTTACTCTTTTATTTTTTTTGGGGGGGGTCGGTCATGGGGTCTGAACTCTGGGCTTGGGTGCTGTCCCTCAGCTCTTTAGCTCAAGGCTAGAGCTCTACCTCTTGAGCCACAGCACCACTTCTGGCTTCTTTTTTCTGCTTATGTGGTGCTGAGGAATCGAACCCAGGGCCTCAAGCATGAAAGGCAAGCGCTCTACCATTGAGCCACTTTCCCAGCCCAGACTTTACTCTTTTTATATAAGCTTAACACTCCCCCCTCCATAGAAATGGAGGTTTTTCAAATTGCATCTTTTAGGACTTCAACATTCTGGATAGTAATCTTTCAGGATTTTGATTTTAAGGATCTTGTCCTTTAGGAATTTATAATACAGGTTTTTTTTAAAAAAATATTGTGGACTCTTAATATTAGGAATTGTGGCAGTGGGAATGGACTTCCGAGATTTTGATCAATGCTGGATATCAGATGTTCTCTTTTAGGTTCCTGCCAAAGTTTTGTGATACAAAGAAAAAGAAAAATAAGAAATGTAGCTAATACCATTCTTTTAATGACCAGTGCTTATGCCCAAGCAGGTGGAAATATTGCTGTTCAGAATATGTCACAAAACTGCTATTTCTCAATTCACTCATTTTCTCTTTAGTTAACAGAATTCATTGTTTTCAGACCAAAAATGTGCAGAGCTAAATCAAATATTCCTTGGCCTCTCTTACGGTTAACTAGAAACTTGTACCTAAATTTGGGCCCATGAGCACTGAGTAGAATTGACTTAGTAAATCTACTACAAAGGATCCTTAGAAGAATCTCTTTTCCTCCCCACTGCCTGGATAAGCTATAATGGATCATGAGGTAACTCTAAGTCAGAGAAGCAGGCATTCCTGATGGCTTCCCAGGACTGCCATCCCTGGTGTAACTTCTTGTTTCACATATGCTACACATAATAGACTCTCCTATGTTTAAGACTGGCTGGACTTCAGTTACTGGAATAGGAGAATAATTAATAGCCAGCTCAAAATGCTTTCATCTCAATCCACCACTGGTTGCTTCCTCCAATCAACGTCTAGACCATGGTGGACCTCAGCATGGCTGTGGAACCATAGGACATTTATGTAGGGGAGATGAGCAGTCATGGTGCCTTGATATTGCAGAGGGCACCTGGAGGTGGCTGAAGGAATTTGGAACAAAACTAGTCAAGTGTTTTCCTTTGGGCCACTTGAATGTAGTACTCCTTTCCATCCCACCTAACAACAAGAAAACAAAACATGTTTATTAAGCGTAATAGAAAAGACCTCAATATGACAAATGTCTTTAGTTCCCATACTCCAACTACCTATCAATGCTGGATGCTCCCATACCCCAACTACCTATCAATGCTGGATGCTCCTAGAATTGAGGCAGTATTCTGGCAGGATGCTGCTTTTGGTAGTTATGATACAAGAGATATTCTCTACTCCAATATGTGTTACTTGTTCTAGAGGGCATTTACTAGGGGTCACATTAAGTCCCAAAGAATCATCTATAGAAACAAGAAGTACATTAAACCACTCTGACCAGTCTGTCTCTTATTGAAATGAGGTTTTTAGACACCAGGCCTGAACTCTAGGAGGAGTTCCTTGGACATCACATGCAGCCACTTGCCCCCTTATGCCAAATAAAAAGATAAGGTAGGAGCTGGGAAGGTGGCTCAGTGGTAGAGATTCCTCAGCACCACATAAGCAGAAAAAGCTGGAAGTGGTGCTGTGGCTCAAGTGATAGAGTGTTAACCTTGAGCTGAAGAGCTGAGGAACAGTGTCCAGGCCCACAGTTCAGGCCCCACCAATGACAAAAAAAAAAAAAAGGTGCAGCACGGAGAAAGGTATATTACGTGACAGCCATGAGAAGACCACTTCAATCTGCCTTCAGCCACCCTCAGGTATACAGACATTGGCCTCATGTTGAGTAGGGAGAACCAGAGGCTGGGCCTGAGAAAGATATGGATGAATAAGAGTTCCAAGTCACACATATGGCCTGATTGACTCTTACTTCTGTCTTTGTCTCTGGGGATGTTATTACTTTACCACCTGAGAGAAGCAAAACAAGTGGGTGGTCTGTACCAAGATTTGGGGCTGGTATCTTCCAGAAAAAAAGTTGGCATTGCCTGTCTGAAGGGGTAATTTGCCTTTTGTCATAGATTTTTTTTTTTTCTGGAACGAGAGAGAATGGTTCAGATCAAAGAGCACAGACATAAATGTAAAGTGTGTGTGTGTGTGTGTGTGTGTGTGTGTGTAGTCCCAGCTTTTAGTTGATTCACAGGCTTGGCAATAACATCGTTTAGGTTCATTTTACGTCACGGTTCCATTTTGTTCTCTTATTGTTCTTCTGTTGTTTCATCCTTCAAACTGTTTTTTTTTTTCTTTCCAGTTGCCACAGTATGTATTGCTGGGAGTGATACATCACTTCCTAACTTGCCTGTGTCTCATGGAATTAGTGCCAGTCTACCACACCCAGAAAATGGAGTGCTTGATCTCAGCTACATGTATTTCAACTACCTGGAACTGATGTTAACCCTTTGAGGATAGCCATTAAACAAGTTTCAACCTGAACTTCTCTGTTTTATTTTTAAACAGTGCTGGGAGTTGAACCTAGGCCTTGTTCATGCTAGGGCAGTATACTGCTCATTTTGATTTTTCTTCTTCACTCCAACACATACCCGGACTTCATTCTCCTGATGTCTGTAAACGAGTCTTTTTCCTCCCAATTTGACCTTCCATTCCAATTACCCGACGTCTAAGTCATCCCTGGGTGGAAAGCCAAGGGTGGGTGAGGGCACTAAAAACTCTCTAGCATCTGCTCTCTGCTTCCTTTGATATTGGTCTATCCAATAAAGACCCAGATCATGTCACTGGCAGGACACGGCTTTTAGGGAGAAGCCACACAATTCAGGATTGTTTTTTAAGTGGTCTAGAAACCATTGGCCACTCACAGTTCATTGGACTGTAAAGACAGCACAGGAAGTAATTTCCGTTATATGCTCCCGAGCTGGTTCAAAGAAGTCCCTGTGAACCAGACACGCCGCTGACCAGGAAAGTGTGAGCCTGGCGTTCCATCCTGTTCGACTGATCAACTGTGCGCGAGCTGTACGCTCTTCGGGAGAGTTCATTGTCACCTGGAGTCGACGCCACGAATCCCAAGGGCAAATTAAAGACAGATGGAGGCCGGTTCTGCAGCGCAGCCCCGAATTCTCGGTGGCAGCCGGCAGGGCGGGCGGCGGGCGGGCCCGGAGCCAGCTCGCTGGCAGAGCAAGGTCACCAGGGACAAGAGGGCTCCACGCTCGGCCTGGCCCTACACCTCGCCGGGCGGTCCTGACGAGCAGCTAGGTCCCACCGGCCCCAAGCACGGTCCGGGGGGTCTGAGGGCGAGCTGAGGCCATGCGGACTTTTCCAGTAAAGGACTGGGAGGCGCCCTGGCCGCAGGAGAGCGCGGGAAGCGCGGCCCACAGACCCCGGCTTCCCGGGGAGGCCGGCGGGCGGGGCCGGGGCCGGGGCGGGGCCGGAGGAGGGGCGGGGCCGGGGCGGGGGCGGGGCCTGCGGACCGAACCAACTCCGAGCGGGGGAGGGTCCGACCCTCTTTTGGGAAACGCGCCTGAGCGCCGCCACAAGTTGGCACCGAGATGCCGCGACCGCGGCCAAGCTTGCGGTCCCCTTTCCAGTGTCGTCCGGGCTGGCAGCGTGGGGGCCGCGGCGGGCAGGACACGCCCCGACTTCCCCGCGGTGCCCCCCACGCGTTGGGCGCGGCGGGAAGGGGGCGGGGCGGGGCGGCGCGGTCCTGGCGCGCGGCGCGGACGCCGCGGTTAAGAAGCGCGCCTCGGAGCGGACGGTGGTTAGTGTCCCTGGGAGGCCGCGGGTCGGAAGCGGCGCTATGTGGTACCGGGTGGCGAGCAGGTGAGCGGCGGGCGGCGGCGGGCCTCGGCCCGGACCCTGGGGTGAGGGACGCGTGGCGGCGGCGTTGGCGGGCGCGCGGTTCCGGTCCCGGTCCCGGGCGAGGGCCGGCGGGGGAGGGCCGTGGGCGCCGTGGGCCCGCAGGGGACGCCGCGGGGGACTGCGCCCGGCGCGCGCGTGCGCGGACGCGGAGCGCTCCCGAGCGGCGGGTGACCCGCCGCCTCTCTGTCTCCCAGCGCGGGCCGGAGCCTGGGCCCGGCCCTGGGCGCTCTGGGCTCCCGGCAGAAGCACAGCCTCCCGGACCTGCCGTACGACTATGGCGCCCTGGAGCCGCACATCAACGCCCAGATCATGCAGCTGCACCACAGCAAGCACCACTTGGCCTACGTGAACAACCTGAACGCCACCGAGGAGAAGTACCAGGAGGCGCTGGCCAAGGGTAGGTGCCGGGTCCACCCGCAGCGCCGCACACCCCGCGGGTTTCCAGGCACCCAAGGCCGCCCGTGAGCCTTGCGTGGACGGGTGGACGGCCCCTTAGTATCTCAGAGAACAGCGGAGTCGAGCCTCCTGTGACCCCTCGGGAGCGCTGGTGAGCTGTAGGACCGTGCACGACACAAGCTCGGTGTTGCCTGTGTGCGTTTAAAATCCAGCCTGGTTATGTAATGTGCTCTTGGGACTGCCCGGCCTCAAGGTAGGTTTGCCAGCCGCTGGCGGGAGCGCTTAGAGGCCTGTCCACTGGCGGCCTGGGTCACACAAGTGCCCTTGGGTGGCGTCCGAAGTGGGCTGAGTTGTGGCTGTAAGCAACTCAGTGCCGTGGTGCCTGGGCAGCAAGTGGGAGAGGCAGGTGCTCTCCCCCCCTCCCCCCCAATCTGGTGCATTGCAGGCAGTGGTCACTGGGACAGAGAGAGGGAAGGGGAGTGCTGGGCGTTTCCCACAGTCCTGGGAAACTTGGAGATGCCCACTGTTTGCTCTGAGCTGCCCCTTGCAAGGGGATTTACTCCGTGTGGGAGAGGTAGAGAGGCTGGAGTTAGCATTGTGATAATCTTTTAGCGAGCTGTGGAACACGTCAGGCCCCTTTAGACTTGACACTTCTTGATTTAACTTAGGGGTCAAAGTTCACAAGGAAAAGTACCATTTTGTAGGAACACAGATAGTGGTAATTCAATTACAATATAATATAGAGCTCACTTTTTTTTTTTTTGTGGGTCGTGGGGCTTGAACTCTGGGCTTGGGCGCTGTCCTTGTGCTCTTCAGCTCAAGGCGAGCGCTCTACCGCTTGAGCCACAGAACCACTTCCTGTTTTCTAGCGGTTTATTGGAGATAAGAGTCTCACGAACTTTCTTGCCGGGGCTGGCTTTGAACCGTGATCCTCAGATCTCAGCCTCCTGAATAGCTAGGATTACAGGCGTGAGCCACCGGCTCCCGGCTTTTTTTTTTTTGCCAGTCGTGGGGGCTGAACTCTGGGCCTGGGTACTGTCCCTCAGCTCTTCAGCTCAAGGCTAGTGCTCTACCACTTGAGCCACAGTGCCACTTCTGGCTTTTTTTGCTTACGTGGTACTGAAGAATCAAACCCAGGGCCTCATGCATGCAAGGCAAGCACTCTACCACTGAGCTACCTTCCCAGCCCTAACTTTTTTTTTTTTTAAGAGCTCACAACTAGTAGTATGTGGACTTATGTTTGTACCTCAGAAGGGAGATGTATAAGGGAATTAGATGTTTTAATGTCTATGCAAAATTGTATATTGTCCTTTTAATCCGTTAGCAGTGTGCACAAGAAAATAATTGATAGCCGTGTTTGAGTCTGTATTGCTTCATAAGCCACATAGTAGGACTTTTTGTTTTTTTAAAGGTTTGTTTACTGAATTTCAGGCACGTGAAATTTAGAGGTTTTCTTAGACAGTGACTAGGGACATCTAGTGGAAGCATGTGGTATTTCAGCAGGATTGTATCTAGGTAAATGGCTAAGCAAGTAGAAGAGGAAGTTACCACATTCTGGAACATTTACTTGCAAGAATCAGATGAATCTTGATACGGGAAAAGGCTCTCATTCAGTAAACAAATGTTTGAAGGATGTGGTCATGGTGATGCTGGGGAATATCCAGTTGTGAAAGTATTTCCTGCAAGACAACATCTGACACCTGGGAACTCTGCTCAGTACTGGAAAAGCTCAACTGGGGGCGTGGCTCTGTGCTGAAAAAAAGTGAAATCATCTTAATCTCAGTTCTTGTGGCCTGAGAACCCCTTTATTTAATGAGAGCCAATGGAACAAAATCCTTACATTTTATTATAATAATACTCCATTGCTTATTTGTACGAGTACCTGTAGAGCCACCTTTTATTTCAAAATTATATTTTTGAAATTACTCAAAGGTTAAAATTTCCTGTTTAAAACTTGTGGGAAAAAGAAATGTACAAGCAAAATAGCATCATGATTCCATCACACGTACTTTACTAACATAATTTAGTCAACTTTTAGTTAGAAGTTGTTAACTTTTTTCCTTTTTTGGGGGGAATCTTTTTGGGGAATCCAACCCAGAGCTTCATTGAGCTGGAAAAGTGTTCTACTCCTGAGCTATATCACTAGCTCTTTTTTTGGGGTCAGTCATGGGGCTTGAAATCTGGGCCTACGCGCTGTCCCTCAGTTCTTCAGCTCAAGGCTAGCACTCTACCATTTGAGCCACAGTGCCACTTCTGGCTTATTTTATTTTATTTTAATTTTTTATTGTAAAGATACTATACAGAGGGTTACAGTCACATGAGCAAGGTAAGGAGTACACTTCCCATTGAGCATTGTTACTCCCTCCATTGTTTTCAGCCACCTTCCCAGACCCTCTTCTTTTTTTTTTTTTAATTAAAAGAGGTTTTCTCTGTGAGACAGAGTCTCAGGTTGCTTTGGCTGGCCTTGTGGACTTTCCTGCCCATCTTGCCTAAGCCTCTGAGTAGCTGAAATTACAGGTGTGCCTCATCACACTCAGCCTTAACTTTAACTTTATTGTATTTGAGGAAATAAAACTTGAACTGAAACCAAAGAAAATGTTGAATTTCAGAGGTGTTTCTCGCACCCTCCCCCACCCCCCTGTAACTCAGGGCCTAGGCACTGTCCCTGAGTTCTTTTGCTCAAGGCTATTGCTCTGCACTTTGAGCCACAGCTCCACTTGCAGCTTTTTGGTGGTTAATCAGAGATAAGAGTCTCATGGATTTTCCTGCTTGGACTGGCTTCAAACCCCAGTCCTCAGATTTCAGCCTCTTAAGCAGTTAGGATTACAGGCATGAGCCAGTGGTGCCTGCCATAAGAACAAGAATTAAAAAAAAAAATATGTGTGCCTTTTACATTTCAGGAGATGTGACGGCCCAGGTAGCTCTTCAGCCTGCCCTGAAGTTCAATGGTGGGGGCCATATCAATCACAGCATTTTCTGGACAAACCTCAGCCCTAATGGTGGTGGAGAACCCAAAGGTTGGTCTATGCTTATGCCACCATGTCTGTTTTTGTGCACAGTAGGATTTTCTTTTTCTTATTGGTCCCTGAACCCAGGGTCTCATGCATGCCAAGCATGTATTTGCTTTTGAGTTATACTCTCAGGAAATAGCTGATTTTCTTTTCTTTCCTTTTTTTTTCCAGTTTAAATATAGTTATTTATAGTTTGATTTACAAAATATGTTCAGTGTGCATACTTGCATAGTAAAAGAATGAATCCTGAGTCAAGTGCCAGTGGCTCACGCCTATAATCCTAGCTACTCAGGAGGCTGAGTTTTGAGGATCACAGTTCAAAGCCATCCCGGGCAGGAAAGTCCATGAGACTCTTATCTCCAATAAAACCAATGGAAAACCGGAAGTGGTGCTGTGGCTTAAGTGATAGAGCGCTAGCCTTGGGCTGAAGAGCGCAGGGACAGCGCCCAAGCCCAGAGTTCAAGCCCCACAACCAACCAAAAAAAGAATGAGTCCTGAAGGGAATTTTCAGCTAAATATGAAGTTTGAGCTGAACTCAAGTTCAGCCACTCTTTGTTGAAACATACATATTGTTGAATTGGATATATTTTGTCTATGCAAAAGCTATGTAAATGTGCCTTTTATTAAAACAAAATGTAAAGTGAAGGATGAAAATACAGGTTTTTAACTTCAATTTGATTCTATCTTTAAAATTTTTTTATTGTGAAAATACCATATAGAGGAGTTACAATTACATGGGCAAGATAATGAGTACATTTCTTATCAAGCATTGTTGCCTCCTCCTTTGTTTCCCCTTCCCATCCCTTCCCATCCCTTCCCACTCCCACCCCCGTTCACCCCCCTAAAATTTTTTTATTTTAAAGGTGATGTACAGAGGAGTTATAGTTACGTAAGTCAGGTAAAGAGTACATTTCTTTTTGGACGATGTCAGCCCTTTCTTCGCTCTCCCAATTTTTCCCCTCCCATCCCTACCCATAAGTTGTATAGATCATTTTCATCATAGTGCCTGGTGAATACCATTGATGATGATGCTTCCTGATGTATATAATATTTTATAATGGTTTATATCTGGTGTGTGTGTGTGTGTATATATATATATATATGTGTGTGTGTGTGTGTGTGTATATATATATATATATTTTTTTTTTTTTCAATAGGGGAGCTGTTAGAAGCCATAAAGCGTGACTTTGGCTCTTTTGAGAAGTTTAAGGAGAAGCTGACGGCGGTGTCTGTTGGTGTCCAAGGCTCAGGGTGGGGTTGGCTTGGCTTCAATAAGGAGCGGGGACAGCTCCAGATTGCTGCGTGTTCAAATCAGGATCCACTGCAAGGAACGACAGGTTTCCTCAATATTTTGTAAAATAAGCATGTATAATTTTGTAGATCATTCACCCTTGTTTGTTCTATAGAGAATTAGTGTCCATTCAAACAACCATGCACTTAAAAAACTAAAGCTTGATGGGAGCGTGTGGCTTATGCCAGTAGAGGCTCTGATCTGAAGGGTTCTGCTTAAGGTGAGCCTTGGCAGAAAATCCCACAAGACTTTGTTTCTACAACAGGATCCAAAAAGCTGGGCTTAGGGGCATGACTCAAATGGTGTATCGCCAGCCAAACAAGTAAACCAAATGAAGCATGATACCCTGAGTTCAAACCCCTGAATAAGCAAAAAATCCCCAAACAATAAAAATACCAGCCAACCAACAACCCTAAAGCCTATAGTAGATAAATAGCAAGATAAAGAGGAAAAATGTATAAATTGAGACTGACTTTGGAACCTGTGATTTTCTCTCTATTCTGCTGAACATTTATGTTAAGCTGGGATCAGAACTCAGGTCCCCAGACTCCTGCCTTCCTGCGTTTCTTTGGTATATGAAGCTATTTGATTTTGAAATGTTAGCCTAGGATCAGCAAGTTCCCATGATCCTAATTGAATTTGAAACTTAAAAAAAAATGTCGCTGAAGCCAGGTACTGATAGCTCATGCTTAATTAAGTCTTAGATACTTAGGAGGCTGAAATTAGAGGTTCAAGGTTCAAAGCCAGCCCAGGCAGATGAACCTGAGAGCCTCTTATCTATAACTAGCCAGCAACAAGTCAGAAATGGAAGTGTGGCTTAAGTGGTAGAGCACCAGCCTTGAGGGAAAAAGCCAAATGGGTGTGGGTCTTGAGTTCAAGCCTCAATACTGGCACAAAAGAATTTCCATTCTTTTTTTTTTTTCCTGTCATGGGGCCTGAACTGGGCCTGGGTGCTGTCCCTCAGCTCTTCATCTTAAGGTTAGCACTCTACCACTTGAGCCACAGCACCACTTCCAGCTTTTTCTGCTTATGTGGTGTGGAGGATTCAAACCCAAGACCTCATGTATGGTAGGCTAGCACTCTACCGCTGAGCCACTTTCCTAGTCCGAATTTCCATTCTTAAGCAGATTTCCAATTATGTAAGAAACAAATTATTTTGTAGAGGGTAACTTTGTGTGTAGAGTAATAAAAGTTGAGAGAGACAAATTCATGTTTTGCTCTTTTCCCTTTCTATCTGACAGGCCTTATTCCACTGTTGGGAATTGATGTGTGGGAACATGCTTACTACCTGCAGTATAAAAACGTCAGACCTGACTACCTGAAGGCCATCTGGAATGTAATCAACTGGGAGAATGTAGCTCAGAGATACATGGCTTGCAAAAAGTAAAACACGATCATTGTATTGAATGTGTCAAGTTCTTTATGACTATTTTTGTAGTAGAGTATGAAATATACTAATAAATATTATAGCATTTGTTAATGTTGCTTATCCACATTTTTGATTAATGTTATACATAATTTCATATTTTAAAATTGCATTATTACTCCACTCTTTAAGAATGTAAAAGCTCTGTAATTTAGTCTTGACTGAACACTTTCTCGAGAGCCATTATTGAGAGGAGGTTATAGCTGTTATCATAAAACCATCAAACCTTTTCCACCCTTGTATTTTGAAGCCTGTAAAGAAACCTTCTTATTCCTATTGTATTGCAGTTTTACAAAGTCCAGTCTTTTGCCTAAGTTGTTTAGCAGTGATGTAGAAAATGGAGCATTTCCCCTCTCTTTTAAGAATTGCCCTTTTTACTAGAGATCCCTGGTCCTGCTAGGGCTGGACGTCACCATGGCCTTCATTTATGGTCACGTGTACCCATGGTAACACCATTTTGCCACTTAAAAAAAAAATGTAACGGGCTGGGGAGGTCACTTAGTTGTAGAGCTCTTGCCTGACATGTGCAAGGCCATGGGTTCTATCCCCAGTACCACAGAACAAACCAATCCTTCAGAACCTGAGTGCTAATTGAGAGGAGATAATTGTGTGACTGGATTTTTCTGTAAGTAGAAATACAAAAAGCTTTAATAGGAAGCTTGCTTTCAAACATAGAAGGATATGCGAAATAGAAGTGTTCAGAGTGCAGATTTGGGCACACTTAAGTGCTTTCCCTTCGTTCAGTCTTCTCAGTGTACCTCTCATCCAGCCCTGGGCTGGATGAGGTGGCATCTGGTAGAGGCAAATTAATCTTGGGATGGAGTCCAGTAGTGTGTCTCCTTGAGAAGTGTTTGCTTTCAAAGACATTTTCACTTATTCTGTACTTTGTGATTTTTTTTGTGTGTTTTGTGTATAGCCTCTACACCATCTTTATGTTGTTTTTCAATAAAGGGAACATTCTTCCCCCAGTAAGTGATTCAGCAATTATGATGTGCCTGTGTCCTTTTTACATGTGTACTACCACTGTGTAGCAGGGACTCTACTGTGTGGCTCAGCATTTCCTCATGTCTCATCATCTTAATTACCTTTAAGAGCTGAATAATATTCTATCAATTGGATATTTCCTGACTTATTTTATAGTTCTAAAAATCTCATTTATTTCATTTTTTTTTTTGGGTCCGGTCGTGGGGCCTGAACTCTGGGCCTGGGCACAGTCCCTCAGTTCTTTAGCTCAAGGCTAGCGCTCTACCACTTGAGCCAGAGCACCACTAACGGCTTTTTTCTTTTATTTGCTTATGTGGTGCTGAGGAATTGAACTCAGGGCCTCGAGCATGCAAGGCAAGCGCTCTACCACTGAGCCACCTTCCCAGCCCTCTCATTTATTT